AAGGAAATGGTAAATCTGGTTTATGGATTACTGTGAGTCCTTTCTGTGTTTTCTGAGAGGTAGAACAAAGGTCACCCTACTCAAATTATACATTTCTTGAGTGCCTTTACCCACATCTGTGGAGACCTAGATGTTTGTTATATTCAAATATCATGCTGTGATTTCCTTGGAGGCAACATGGGAGGAGAAGAAACCTGAGCTAAAGAGAAAGTGATTTTTCATGTTCCCTGCATTTAATCTGGTCTATTTAATCCCATACAGAGCCTGGAGCTCAGACTCAGATGAGTCTGGGCCTAGTTTGATTCCTTGATTTTGTCTCTGTCATAGTGACCACTTTTTTTCACAAAGAAGTAATAAAAGCATTGCTTCTGCTGTCAAATAAAGTAGGCGGAAATAACATCTCACCCTATCCCAACTAAGCTAAAAGTTGATTTCACTCTAAAGATACCAATCCTTAGGTGCCTTTCGCAAATGAAACTAAAAACGTTAACAACAATAATTTATGACTTAGAGGGAAATATGACTTTTCTCTTAAGAAGCACTTCATCTCTATTGTCCAAACTAATCTGCACAATAACCCTGTGAGGTAAGGAGTACAAAGATTATGATTCCTGATTTAGAGATGATGAACTGAGGCCTAGGCAGGTGGGACAAATCTCAGCCTCAAAACTCAGGGCATTAATTCCTTGTCTACTACTCTACTCAGTTTGCTGCTGAAGTGGATGCAGATTGTATTTGTTAATGCATTTAACTTGGACTCAAAAGAATGACTGACTAATCAAATATTGCTCTAGTACATGTAACCCCAGAAACAGAAAGTACTTTAAAACACACAAAGGACTAACTCCTTTGTTTTGATGTAGGGAGAAACTCATTGGGAACAAAACAAAATGAAGACATTGCTGACAGAAGATTTGCATGCGAAATTCGTGCAACTAGAGAAGGAGAAAAGTCAATAGACTCTGTTGAGTATTGAGCACAGCTTGAAGAACCCCCTACAATGGTAAGCTTGGAAGAAAAGGTGGAGAAACTTAAGAAACAGCTCAGTGAAATGAGATGGTCAAATCAAATCATGAAAAACTCACCTGAGGAGAGTCATCTACCTCAAAGTAAGTTGAGATAAGTGAAGTACTTTCAGAAACTCAACCAGGGTCTTTGTCACTGCTTTCTGGTCTCCCTATTTCAGTTAAACAAACAGGTCCCCTTTGTGCTCTTCACTTAAGGGAAACTTTCCAAACTATGAATCTTCTGGATTGCCTCCTGACCTTCTCCATGTCCTTCACTGAGTGTCCCAGTTGTAAGATCCTCTAAATCAACTCTATTTCAGCAGGTATACCTATTCAATTGAAAGACAGTCGACACAATCCATAGAAGACTAGACTTGGAGTCAGCAGACCTGTGTTTGACCATGGGAAAGGCTCCAAGCCTCAGTTTCCTCACCTGTAAAATGGGGCCCCCAAACCTGTACTACTTATCTGACACTTTTTGTTGTGAGGCTTAAAGTGGGGAATAAACATGCTATATGAATGGTGGCGGTTATTCTACACTCATGGATCAGCCAGTGAAATTTGCAGTTTATTGGCAACAGTCTAGCCAGACTTTGCTTCTTGTTTCTCTGTGTGTGGGTAGCACAGACTATGAGCTCCTTGAGGCTGGGACCTCATTTTGTACTTTTTCTTGAATTTCTGGTCTGACTCACAGTGCCCTGTATACTTGGCTTCAGTGTGAGAAGACTTAGTTTTTGTTGTTGTTGTTGTTAAGAATGATGACATGTGTGATTGTATATCTATGCTCCTCGATTGTGAGATACTAGGTGGACCAGAGGATAGAGCCCTGGCCCTGGAGTCAGGGAGACTTGAGTTCAAATCTAGCCTTTCAGAGTTATTGGCTGTGTGATCCCAGGCATTAACCTGCGATCCACCTCCATTTCCTCAACTGTGAAATGGAGATAATGTTCAAAACTCCCTCCCAGGGTTGTTGTAAGGATCAAAGGAGATGATCTTTGTAAAGTGTGCTCACTGCCTTGCTCTTAGTCACAGTTGATAAATACTCTCCCCCTTTTATATTTGCCTGGAATCTTAGAGGGAAGATAAGTGAACTGGCCTATCATATAGAGGAGAGACAGAACTGTAATCATTCTCTCCTCACCCTCACGGGACAAAACCATTGAGAAGATCCGGGAATCTTTAAAAATGGTTGAAAGAGTTAAAGAGAAGACAGCTCCAAAAGTGATCAATTTGAGAAGAACATCAGACTACACCAAGCAAGAACCCAGAGAGGCATAGAATGGCCTGTCATACCCTGGAAGCTGTCACTAATGATCTATATATAGTAAACAGAGCACTTGAAGAAGCAGAAAAATGAGAAAAACAGGTATTTTCCCCCCTCCCCCACTTTCTAACAAGGGGCATTTTAAAAAAGGAATGTCTAAAAGATTGGTCTCAAATTATCACTGTTTTCATTAAAAGTTTATTTCTCCTATTTGTTGCTTAGGGAGTTATAATCTTATTCAATTACTGTGTAAATCCCTTCGGATTTTTTGGTCCAGGATTCATTATATCTCATTTGACCAATTTTCCTAGAAAATTGTTCCTTTCTAGTAGGAAAGGTCTCCATGAAATAATATCGTGTCTCCAAATATGTCCAAACATGAGTGTAGTTTTCAGATACTGAAGCTGATTCTCAGCCATACCATGATCCAATGCAATTCCAAAGGACTCATGATGAAAAATGTTATCCACCTCCAGAGAAGGAAGTGATGGAGTCTGAATGCAGATTAAAACATATTAGTTTTCATTTCTTTTTTTTCGTATTTTTTCCTTTGGTTCAGTGTCTTCTTTTCAAACAGGACCTATATTGTGATGTGTTTTGCATGATTGAACATGTATAGCCGATATCAAAATGCTTTCTGCCTCCAGGAGGGGGAAGGTGAGGGAAGAGGGGAGGGAGATAATTTGGGATTCTAAATTAAAATCAAATAAATGTTAAAAATTGTCTTTGTATGTAATTAGGGGAAAACAAACTATTTTTTAAAATATTGAAGCTTTTGTTATTATTACTTTGATTATTAAAGCTTAAAACTGCTCGAAGACTTTTGGGACAGACTGTTTCCTCTAACAAAAACTCTACTATTGAGCGGAACAGGCAGATAGCTGATAAATTTTGAATTAGATATTAAGAAATTATATTTGAAAATACAAGATCAGTTTATGGAAGGCTCATGCTAAAAAAGGACACTTTTCTAGGAAATTGTGTAGAAACCTGGTTTGATGCTCTATGTTGCCATTGTTCATAAAAAAGTAGCTTTCTTATAAAGTTGTCTTAGACAAGTGAATATCAAAAATCCTGAGCCACTGACGCTACTTTTTCTTTTCTTTTAGTGTGTGACTGTTTCCACCCTTATAGCTCGTGGATTTTAGAGAGTCTATAAAGAAGATGAGAGGCTTTAACATTGAAATTTCAGGCAAAGAAATCACTAATCAACTCAAGCCCATCATACAAACTTATGAAATTTCTTCATTGACATCTAACAGCAGATTGAAGGCTACTGGTAATCGTAATACTGGCCAAGAGAACAAATGGCACAAAGACATTTGGTGCTTTTTTTTTCTTCACTGTCACCAACCAGACCTAATTTGTTTTTTGTAATTTTTTTGTTTATTGTTTGTATATACGGCGGTAGAAAATAGCTAGAGAATGAATACAATATTTTTGGCATTTTCATTTAAGTATTCTTTGATGTTTGTCACTTGATTTTTTTCTTTTCTTTCTTATTTCACTCTTTCACCTTGTTCCTCTCTGCTTTTGCTGTAACTTGTTCTTGACTTGTCATTTGTAACTTATTTGAGATAGTCTAAACCTGAGATTTCATCACCTTGGGAACTCCACTGATACATGTCAGCAATTTTGTATTTGATAGCATTGGCTTATATTTATATTAAAACTGTAAATTATTGTCCTACTTACGTAGGATGCTGACAAAGTTGGACGGCAAACCCAGAGTAGTACAGCTAGTATGTGTAAGAGTACGATTTGAACCTAGGTCTTCCTATCTCCAGGGCAAACTCTTATTGCACTAAAAGCAAGACATTTGTTCTTCAATATGTCATTATCTTCTTTCTGCATAGTTACATTATTTTTGATCCCTACTAAAAGACATATGCATTGTCAAGTTGAAAATTTATAGTTATTTTAATCTCTCTAGTACAGAACAAAAACAGATGAGAATTTTAGGGTAAAATTTTGGTTGAAGTTTCACTTAAAAAAAACAACTGAGCTTTTGGTAATGATGCATAAAACATCTAGGGACAGAAAGACCACTAAAAATTTCAAAAGTTGGTTATTTCCTTAATAGCAATACAGCCTCGCTATAGTGGCCACAAAGGAGCCAGTTCTTAGAGCATGCAAAGATATTCCTTACCTGGTTGTAGGCCAAGTGGACAATTATGAAGAGCCTGTTTCTTCTGGCGGTGCCTAATTAATGGACATGCGCTAGAGACTGAAGAGAAAATCTTTTAACTGGCCCTAAGAAGTGATGACCAGAGTTTCCAAACTGACTTCAGCGTGGTTTTAAAAGGAATGACCCAACTCTCTCTATTTCTTTCTCTGTCTCTCCCTCTCTTTTTCTGTCTCTGTACCTAAATCTCTCTATCCCTCTGTCTCTTTCTCCCTCTTGGCTTGGAAGCAGGAATGCTGCCTGAAGAGCTAGGTGGAGGAAAAGTGGCTGCCTTGCCTCTTTTTGCACTACTCAGGCATGGTAACTGTCAACCAATGGCTTCATGTCTTCTTGTGATTGTTCTTGATCTTAGGCAAATGAGCTTTCCTAGATGGAAGTGTTTGTATAACCTGGTGAGCTCAGAAGATCCCCAAGTCCCCTTGGCTGTTGGGAGCTGAATGACTGTAATATCAGCACCTCCTAGAGGCAGAGGAAGAAGAACCCCATAGCAACAGATTGCTGACATTAATGGAGGTACCTGCAATAGTTGTGGAAAGACAATCACCTGAGAAGGGCAGCTGCTTCAAGAGTGTGACCTCTCAGAGTGGAGAGGAGTACCAGTATGCCATCTAGAAAGGAATCAGCCCTCAGAATCTAGCTGGAAGCTATCCTGAAGGGAACTTTATGAGGATTCTACAAAGGAAGAAAAGGACAGAAAGTGCCAGAGTTATGAGTTATCCCTTTGCTACATGTTCTCCTCACACACACTTCACTGTCATTGTACTCTAAGAGCTCTCTCTCCACTGGATATTGCTTTTCTTTCAGGTGGAACATGACCCAGGTTTTGGCTGGCTTAATAAGGACTAGTGCAATGGAGGCTTGTGAGCCAGAAAGCTGGGACAAATACAGTCCTTCTGGGTTTTCAGTCAGTCATTCAATAAACATTTATTCCCCTTTCAGTTTGATTTTTTTTAATGAAAGGGGCTATCCCTTGACTCACCTCTTAAAGAGGACTATTCACTGAATGGTCCTTTTCTCACTCAAAGTGAGAAGCTGGAAAGACCTTAGCTTACATGTGCCAAGTGCAATCACGGCATCCTGGGCTGTCTCCAGTTCTGATTGATATCTGGCCACTGGACCCAGATGGATCTGGAGGAGAGAGTGAGGCTGGTGACTTTCCACAGCCCTCTGTCATTCATATCAAAGTCAATTGCAAGTCATGCCATCATCTCCCTCATATCATGTTCCTCTTCAAGAACAAATGACAAACCACACACACACACACACACACACACAATTAAGGACCTACTAATGTGCTAAGGACAAAAGACAGTGTCTGACCTCATGGATATCACAATCTAATTGGGGAGGCAACAAGCAAACAGATATGCACAAACAACCTCTATACAGGATAAATAGGATGTAAAAGAGGGAAGGCACTATTGGAAGGGGCAGCTTGGTGGCAAGAGCACCTGGGGTTAGGAGGACCTGAGTTCAAATCCAGCCTCAGATACTTATTGGCTGTGTGACCCTGGGCAAGTCACCTAACCCCTATTGCCTTTAAAAGAAAAAAAAAGTATTAGACAAGTCTTCCTGTTAAAGGTAGGATTTCAGCTGGGATTGAAAGATCACTAGGCAGAGATGGGGAGAGAGAGCATTGCAGGCATGGAGGACAGCCAGAGAAAACATCTGAAGATGAGAGATCGAGCGTCTTGTTTCTAGAAGAGCCAGGAAGCCAGTGTCACTGGACAGAATTGTGGGGGACAGTAAGAAGACAGAATATTATGAAGGGATTTCAATGCCAAATTTGGGATTTTGTATTACTGAGTACAAATTCACATGGTTGGACTTGCACTTTAGGAAAATCACTTTGCATACTGACACTGTTTATTATTGCTTTGAGGATTTTATGATTGTCTCTATTCAGTTCTGTTTACCCAAAGGAACTTACCAGATCACTTCAATGGTTTCATCTGAAAATACTCACTTGCTGCAGATCAGAAAAAAAAAAGAAGCAAAGACAAAGAGATAGATGAGGCCATGCATGCCCAGGCACCACGACCAGGTGAGATAGGGCAGCCACATTTCTTCTACCCAGGTTTTTTTTAAATTAATTTATTTTGATTTATTAACAATCATTTCCATATGCTTTTGAGTTTAAAATTTTTCTTCCCCTCCCTCTCTGACACCCTCCCTAAGACAACACACAATCTGATATAGGTTATACATATACATTCCTATTAAACATATTTTCACATTACTGATGTTGTAAGTAACAATTAGAACCAATAGGAGGATGCACCAGAAAGAGGAAATAAAACTCAACAGAAGGAAAAAATGGCAAATAGTATGCTTTCATCTGCATTTAAACTCCATAGTTCTTTCTTTGGATGTGGATAGCATTTTCCATCATGATGCCTTTGGAGATGTCTTAGATCCTTGTACTGCTGGAAGGGTTAAGTTTATCAGTATTAGTCATCGCATTGCGTACAACATTCTCTGGTTCTGCTCACTTCACTCAGCATCAGATACTTTACCCCATCCTACCTCTCCTTTTCTCCTTCTCCAAGTAAAATCCTCTCTCACCCCTTAATTTTATTCTCCAGATATCACTCCTTCACCTTCAATCACCCTGTGGCCTCTATCTACCTATCTATCTATCTATCTAACATCTATCTATCTATCTATCTATCTAATCCATATATTTATCTATATAATCCATATAATTTTTTCCCTCCAACTGATAAAGGTCTCATGAGTTACAAATATCATCTTTCCATGCAAGAATATAAAGAGTTCAACCTTAATAAGTCCTTTATGATTTCTCTTTCCTGTTTACCTCTTCGTGTTTCTCTTGAGTCTTGTTTTTGAAAGCCAAATTTTCTATTCAGCTCTGGTCTTTCCATCAAGAATGCTTCAAGCTCCTCTATTTCACTGAATAACCATTTTTTCCCCTGAAGGATTATACTCAGTTTTGCTGGGTGAGTGATTCTGGGTTTTCATCCTATCTCCTTTGCCCTCCAGTCCCGCAATGTAAAAGCTGCTAAATCTTGTGTTATCCCAATTGTGTTTCCACAATATTTGACTTCTGGCTGCTTGTAATATTTTCTCCTTGACCTGGGAACTCTGGAATTTGGCTACAATATTTCTAGGAGTTTTCCTTTGGGGATCTCTTTCAGGATGATCGGTGCAAAGAACGCCTACTTTCCTTCCCCTTGTTATTGTTGTTCAGTCATTTTTCAGTTTTGTCCAACTCTTTGTGACCCCATTTAGGGTTTTCTGGACAAACATACTGTGGTGGTTTGCCATTTCCTTTTGCAGATCACTTTGCTATTGTGGAAACTTTGGCAAACAGGGTTAAGTGACTTATCCTGGGTCACACATCTCATAAGTGTCTGAGGCCACATTTGAACTCAGGATTATGAGTGTTCCTGACTGTAGGTCTGGCATTCTCTTCACTGCAACAACTACTTGTTTCTACTTCCTCTTACATTTTTAAATATGGTGACCTTTCAACCCCACATGGGGGAGCTCTGTCCCCAGTATTTGTTCCACTTAGGAAACCACTCCACATATGGAGACAAGCCTATATGCTTGAACCAATTGACATGTGGGGACCTACACATGACATATATTACTTACATGAGAACCTAAGGAAGCAGCTGCCTTTTGGGGACTCCAGTCTCTGATTGCAAGTCAGGCAAAGAAGCCTCATCGTGGGTGCGATTCACAGAGGCTTCATCAGCATATACTTGGGTGCCAATTAAAGAGGCTGAGGAAACTGAGGCAAACAGAGGTTTCAGTGATTTGACCAGGATCCCTCAGTGAGCATCTGAGGCTAGATTTGAACTGAGGTCGTCCTGACTTTGGGCCCAGTGCTCTATTCACTGTGTCATAGCTGCCTCAAAATGTAATGGCCACTAAATTGTGGTACACAGGATAAAGCCTTGATCACTTCACGCTCGTCTTGGCTCTTTCTCAGGCTATGACAACAGTGGAATAGGCAGGCCGAAATTGTACAGGCAAGGAAGGACTGTTGTCAATGCATGTGGGAATTGTCTTGGCAAGGTTGCTTTATTTCTGCAAATAAATTAATAGGCTCCCAAGAAAGAAAAATCTCAAATCTGAATGGCAGCTCAGGTTTCTCATACTTCTTCTAGTCGGTCTGACTTTCCACATAATGCAAAGTGAGGTGAATATATGAGCATCATTTAATCCCTCAAAGACACTAAGAATTCTATAACAGATCTGTACTGGCTAAGATTTGTTTATACTTACA